CCTGATTAGACCATCTCCACTGGAATATCAAAGTCTGCTTCATACCATGAAACAATTCCCGAATTTTCCACGATAATCTTAAGAAGAAAATTGCTGAACCCTTTTTCAGCTAAGGCTCAAAATGCCTCAAAGCTTTGCAAGTATACATGCAAGTAACAAAAATCAAGACTAGTTCAATCAGATCTTAAAATACTTCAAGGTAGATAACATATTCACATAATTCCAGTTTACTTCCTAGAAACAGGATATACAATGATCACACTAAAGTACCCAGCAATGATGCGCCAAGATACACTAATATAACTTCTTTCCAGAGGACTTCTTTGGAGGTATGGTAGTTCTGCAACAGTCATACTCGTTTTGGTGCCACGTATGGCACCCGTTCATCTTCACACAGTGTCTGCCCAGAGAAGAATGATTAACTTTTGACAAGTTTGTAACAAGAAATGACATGAGAAAACACAAAGCTGACATATAAAAAACAGACTTCAGGATTTGACTGTCCGACATTAAAAGGGGAGATTTTCCCTTCAACAAGCATGTTAACCTCCAGCCTAAGGAGCGGCGTCAACAAAGCTGATTTCAGGTAGACTTAACTTATTCAACTTATTCATGAACGACAGAGGGACTTATGTCAGAAGACTAGCAACCAACTAAAATTGACTGTTGTATCCAGACTCGGCACACTGAAATTTGAGTTTCAGTATGACTTTACATCTCTTTTGTAAGCAAGAACTTAAAAAGAATACATCTCTTTTGTACAACATGAAAAACAATGTGAAGAAAGAATACGTAGGAAATCAACCAGCTGTTTTAAAGATGCAACCCTTGCCAAATTTTAGGTATTAAAGACATAACTAAGTAATAGGACAACAGCTTTCCTAATGGCATAACGCGCATATGTCTGATAATTTTTAAACTAGCAAATGTGACTATATCTGCAACAGTAGGACCATTTGGTGCAAGTTATTGCTATCTACGTCAAAATTATACTAGTACCACATTTTTAACCTTTAAAATATCACAGAATATATATGTTGCAGCAATCCTGTCTCTATAAACACGCCAAAGCCTATAATGTTTATTATGAAGACAACAGAGAGTAGTTTGACTTTGACCTAGTTAAAGTAAGTTTTAGCATTAAGAAAACCTAACATAAACCACCTAAAACTGAAAGGCATTATACACAAGCAAACTACAGAAGGAGCTCTTGTCACCAAGCTCTGCAGTATCTAACACGCAAAATTATTCTACAGAGAACAACTTGGGCATTTCTAAAGCTCATTTAAAGTTCTGATTTATACAAAGCAAAGTTGCCAGTCCACTGGACCAACAAAACTATAGGCCCAATGAACACTTCAATCATCACGAGAGCCAAAGTATGAAAATGAGTTACTTATTTAGCAGAGCGAGTATGATCCTAACAAACATGAATTTCTTGACCCAATAAGCCAGTCATATTCAGGAGACCGAAGCTGCAGCAAAACAAATTAGAGTTCTCTGTGAAGGAATCATTAGTTCTTAGTTTCCTTCCAAGTTGCCTTTTTCAAATAGTACCCATTCAGATTCAAGGAACAAAAGTCCAGTAACCAATTATATAACTGTATTTTTCTTTGGCTCTTCACTTCTTTTTCTGGAAGTATATCAAAAGCATAAATGCAGAAGTTAAACATACAACAACATATCTCATGCGTAATTTGTTTTGCAACTCCTGATAAATGAATACCTGCAGGTCTTCTGGAAGTGCTTCTGAGACAGCAAGAGTGTAGCATCCTGGGACAAATTTTCCTGTGAATGTCCAGAGAACCACATGATCCAGAGTTAGTACCAATGCTATGGCGTAGAGCATCCAGGCAAGCCAATTTCATGACAAATTTTACTAAACAAATGGGAATACCACTAAGCCCACAGGAAATTTTGCACAGGAGGAGAAGCCATGAGGTACTCTAGGAAACAAAATGCTACAGTCAATAAAAAAAATTATTGTCTAAAAAGCCCAAAACTTAACATTGCAAAAGCAAACTGTTTACTGGAAAGCGAATGATTCTAGCTTTCTAGAACCAAAGTTGTTTCTAAGTGTTCTTTTGCCATGATAATCTTAGTTCACTTAAGCTAAAGAAAAAAGAGATTCTCAAAAGTAACTGAAGGTGCTTTTGAATCTCAGAATATTTGATAGAAAAATAATTGATGAGACTCTCATTGATAGAAAAAAAATTGATAGAATCTCGACTCTCACTGATGAGAACAGAGCCATAATTGATGAGACATCTATAAAATTGTCATCATTATAGGTTTCAATAGGAAGGTTAATTTTGTACTTGTTCAGTATGTATGAATGTACATCTGAATTAACTTGCACTAAGGTATTAACTCTTTCAGATCAAAGTAGAAAGGAAGGGATGCGGACTATTAATTCGTACGTGTTGTTTTGCAGACGGTCATTTAACACGCAGTATGTCAGAAGTTGTCTAACTTCTGCTGGCTTTCTTCAGAGAATAAACCTAACAACTCCCTATGATAGTAAATTAGCAAAAGGACAACTCAAGAAATAATTGCATGATCATCAGGACAAAGTCATCCGCCAAATCCTGCAAAAGAATCTAGCCTGCTCACACAGATTGTGCATGCCCACTAAGAGTTCAACAGATACACTTGAATTTATGCACATTCAAGTCTCAAATAAACGGATAATAAACAACCATCATATTGTGAGACATAATTTATAAAATAGAAGAATCAATTGGAGGGCAAAACAAGCAGACCCTAAGCACCTCAAAATCAAAATGCACACCTATACCAACTTCTATTGCTTCCTAAGTGACAACAGGAATGGCCTTTACAGTTGCAAAGCTTTCTTCATCCAAGAAAACTAAGCAAATCCTAACAAGGATCCAACCAACCAATGCAGGACGCAGACAGACAAACATGCAAACATGCGTATAAAGCATCTCAATATCCCAAATATATATGAGTGTATATAGATAAAATGAGAAGGGCTTGGGTAAATGTTATAAGTATAATACCAATGCGGAGCCAACGAGCAGCCCAACTCCGAGTAGGGTCCATGACAGAGATAATCCTAATCGCCACAATAATGGTACTTCATAATCGAGAAGAAAATCAAAACTCAAGCAAAATTTAAACATTTTTCTTATAGAACAGAAATTACCCAGTGAAATTAGGAGTAGTACAGTCTACAACGCGTTCATGATCTTCATCCATCTTGAAGAACGGGCAGTTCTCGCATCCCGACTCCCTGAACTACGCTCCCCCACACAAATCCAAATTTCAATTTCCAACAACCCAAAAAAAAAATTCAATTTTGTCGAATAATAAAACCCTAATCAGTTACCCTGAGGAAAAACTACAAACTGGGCAGAACCTGATCGTAGGTCTTGACGAGACGGCAGCGAAGGCATGCTCGGAGCTCGTGGCCAAAGCTCGTCGGAATTTGAGCCGCTCCTACGGCGCCGGTGCTTCCCATTGTCCTCTCTTCTTCTTCTTTCTTCAAGCATTCTCACATAGTCGGACAAGTATTTATAGTGATTCAAATCTGGCCCAAACATGGATGCCTCCCCTTGTTGGGCCGGGGATGGGCAGTGGAGGCCCACATGCACCCTCATTGTCCACCGATTTTCTTTTTTCTCGTGTCTTTACAAATTAGTGGGGAGATTATGAACTTGAAAAATTTGTGCTCCTATCCTAAACAAGAATTATTAGATAACATATTAAAAAAAATAGAGAATGATTTTCAAGACTCTGGAAGCTCAGTCATAAGCAATATTTTTTTTATTGAATTGTTTTTATTGTGATTATTTATGAGTTGATGCAATGCATATATAATTTATCAACAATGTTCTCACATATTATTCATATTTACGTCAAAAAAGTTAATACTATATGCAAAATATTTAATCACCACATCAATATATGCTAAAACATCAATTTAATATTTTGGTTAGGGAACCTCTCCTGAGGTTTCTGACAATTTCACTTAGTTTCCTGAGGTTTAACAAATTACACATACCTCGCTTGTCATTTAAAATGATAATTTACCCTTAAATATTTTAATGAAATTCTTTTATTTGGTATGCTTATACTTAGAATGAGTTTTAAAATTATTTTTTCATTCTTTTTCCTTCTTATTTCTTTTTTTTAAAATTTTCACTAATAAAACTATAGATCTACCACTATTACCTCTAGGTTTCTATTATAATTAAGAGCAAATTATCCGGTTAGCCACTAAACTTTTGCGATCGTCGAGTTTTGGTCACTCAATTATTAAAAGTCTGATTTTGACCACTAAAATGTATAAAGTTAAGACTCGAGCCCATTCTGTTAGATTTAGCCGTTAAGTTCGCCGATCTATCTGTTCACGCGATTTCCAAGACAAAAGGCAGGGTTAATTTAGGAAGAGTCTCCTAGAAACGAAGAGAAGCACGTTCAATTGCAGCTTGGAACAAGGAGTCGTTTTGGTGATTGAGCTTGGACCTGGGCGTCAAATTCCTCTTTCTAATAGCTGCGGCGTGAGATGGGAATCCTCTCGTATTCGCAATGCCAGGAGCCGGCGGCGTGGGTGAGACCAAAATTTCCATGGAGGACAAACAAACACAACACGGCGCTTGCTACTGCAATACTACGCTTATCCTGTCTTCGCCCTTCTACGGTTTTACCTCAGGCCCTCAACCCAATCTGGGCTCCCTAATCCATTTTTCAGCTTCTATGTGTAGTGCATAGATTTCTTTCCAATTTTAAATATTTTTTCTTGACGTAAGCTATAATATATCTCTAATAATTTTAACTTATCAAAGTGGAGTAGTATTATGAAGTAGAGCTAGCTCATATAATTAAGAGCGAATTGCGCGAAATGTCACTAAACTATTTCAAAGTGCCGGTTTTGGTCACTAAACTTTTTTATTAGCGCGAAATGTCACTGAACTAGTAAATATGTACCGTTTTGGTCACTCCGTGTATTTGTGCCGTCAGGAGAGACGTAAATCTACTTTTTGAGGGGCAAATTCGTCTGCACAGCCTTAGTGGGAAGAGTTTCATCTGGTAAGTGAAAGGTTTAACTGTGGGGCTTTGGGATGTTGGTAAAATTTTTGGGAATGTGGACAATGACAGTGAAAAGTATCAAAATTGATCCATTCTTCTCACAGTAATCAGTGACAAGACTCAAAGAACCGGCAAAAGACGAAGATTAGCTGTGAAGAATCGATCATCGATGGCAGGGAAATGGGTGAAAAGGCAAAGGGATGAATTCATTGATCCGTACACATTATACGGTAAGAAATATTACAATCCGTACACATTTTGCTTGATTAATGGTGTTGTTTGTGTTTTGAGTATAAAGAAGTATTTAGTGAGAGTTTTTATTGGGTTTAGGGTTTGCTGAAGTGATCCAGTTGTTTAGAAAATGACATAAGAACGATTGACTTCGCTTTTTGTCGTATAAGTGGGTTGCAAGGGGTCCTACAAGAACCCTCTATCTTGTAATTTAATGAAAAAAATAAACTTTTCAAAATGCAGTTGTCTGATTCGGATTAATTAACAAATGGGGGTTAAGTATTTTTATAAGAAGAACAGCATGTATAACAATAAAAAATGGTGATTAACAAGAATCATGTTGTTTGCCTTTGTCGTTGTTGTTGCAGTTCCTGATATACCTGCATTTTCGATTAAACTCCACCACGGCGGTAAAATTGAGGGAGAGAAATACAAGAGTTATGTGGGTGGAGAGATTGATTATTTCGATCTTTGCCATGCTGATTTTATGTCGATTCATGAAATAAATAAAATGGTGGAAAAGTGTGGGCACAACGATACTATGTTATATTATTACATTGACCCTAGAGGGGATTTGAACCATGGACTGATGGAACTTCAAACGGATGAAGACATTATGCAATTCTGTGGTTGGGTTAATGAGTACAAGTTGATGGAAGTATACTGTCATCATTTAACAGTTGAGGAAATATATGAGTGGAAGAAGAAAAAGGAATTGGAACAGTTATCACAGACAAAGAGTTCAGTGGTAATAGAGGAGATCTTGGATGATGGTGAAATTCTTACACAACAGGCAGCAATACCTCGTAGACAACGAAAAGGAGTCCAAGCTAGTAGATCAGTTGCAGCTTTAGAGTGGACACATGACCATGCTGGTGAAGATGAAGATGCATACCAAAATTCTTCTAGGAGATGTGAACAGGCCAACAACAATACACAGGAGTCCGAGCCACAAATGCATAGCCAAGTTGATAATGACCCAACTCCATCAAGTCAGAATAGGAGGGACAATGACAGTTCCAGAAATAGAAGAAACAGAGATAGGAGAAAATCTCGTACGTCGGAGGCCGTTTGTGGTGCTACAAAAAGAGTTAGAAAAGGAGGTGTAGCAAATGAAGGTGTATCAAATAATGGTGCTGCAACTGAAGGTGCATCAAATGGAGGGGCAGCAGGTCAAGGTGCATCAAATGGAGGTGCAGTAGGTGAAGGTGCAACAAATGAAGGTGCAGCAACTGAACCTGTAACAGAAACTGGGGCAGCAACTGAAGCTGAAGCATGTGAAAATAGAGAAGGTGCAGCAACTGAACCTGTAACAGAAACTGGGGCAGCAACTGAAGCTGAAGCATGTGAAAATAGAGAAGGTGCAGCAACTGAAGCTGAAACAGAAGCTGGTCCTGAAACTGAAGCTGAACACAACCCACTATTGGATGATATTGTGGAAGGGGAATTAAATAGTGATCCAGATTCAGAAGATGAAGATGTTCCTGTGAGATACACTAGTTTCAATGCTAGCAGAGATGGAACAGATCCCCATTTTCATGTTGGACAAAAATTTGGAACCAAAAAACAGTTCAGAGATGCTCTCAGAAATTATGCAATTATAAGTGGAAGACCTGTATACATGTATACAAGTGACAAAACAAGAATGAGAGCTAAATGTGCAGATCCGTGTAAGTGGTACATTTATGCTAGCCACGTTCCTGCTTTGGGTACTGAAGACTTTGTAGTTAAAACAATTTACGATGTCCACACCAATTGCAGCCATGCTTGGAGAAACAAAAACATGACATCCAATTGGGTAGCAGACAAGTTTGAAGAGTCTGTTAGATCCAACATGAACATGCCTGTTAGGCAATTGTTACAGAGTATAGATGAGCAATATAGTTGCGAGATCACAAGAAACAAAGGTTACAAAGCACTTGCAATGGCTAAGGCTGCTATCAAAGGGTCAGCATCTCAGCAGTATATTGATGTTGGGAGGTATGCAGCAGAACTACAAAAAACTCACCCTGACACCACCATAGACATCAAGTATTCACCAAGAGCTGATCCTGAAAGTAATCCCAGATTCATGAGATTTTACTGCTGTTTGGGACCAATGAAAAAGGGATTTAGAGAGGGATGTAGGCCCCTTATTGCTCTTGATGGCTGTCACACTAAGGGGGCATATCCAGGGCAGTTGTTGATTGCTATTGGGGCAGATCCAAATAATGGTTGGTGGCCATTAGCTTGGGCAGTTGTTGAGAAGGAGGCTCGGGAACAATGGCTTTGGTTTTTGAGTTTACTGATTGGTGATCTAGAAATACCAGCAACTAGCAGTGAATACACTTTTATTTCAGACCAACAGAAGGTTAGGAGTACTGTTCTTTATCCTTATAGCATGTATTGTATAGGATAATTTTTGCAAGTGACTAAACTTAGAACTCTTTTATAGGGTCTTGATAGTGCACTGCTGGAGTTATTACCAGAAGCTGGCCATAGATATTGTGTACAACATATGTACAGAAATTTCAAGAAAAAGCACCCTGGTGAAGTGCTTAAAGAAAAATTCTGGAGCATTGCAGCAGCATCAACAGTGGAGTTCTATGAGGCAGCTTTGGAAGAGCTTAGAGCATATGACCAGCAAGCTCACGCGTGGGTCAAGAGAGCTGCACCACCTCATCACTGGTGTAAGGCTTTTTTTCCACTTCACGTGAAATCTGACATGCTGGTTAATAATTTATCAGAGACATTTAATTCTCATATATTAAATGCTAGAGAGTTGCCAGTGATTGGGATGGTTGAGTGGATTAGAGAATTCGTGATGGAAAGGATATCAAATAGAGTATGTTGGATGAGAAAATGTAGTGGTCCTGTGGGACCAGCAATAAAGGCTTTGATTGAGGAGAGGGAAAAGTTTTCTAGAAAGTGGAAGCCAATATCAAATGGGAAGGGGGGATATCAGGTTAGGGGACCTAAGGGGGAACAATTTGCTGTGTACTTAAGAGACAGAACCTGTACATGCAGGTTGTGGCAAATTAGTGGGCTCCCCTGCTGCCATGCAATTTCTGCCATTTTAAAAATTGGTAGGAACCCAAATGACTATGCCGATCAGTGTTATAGTAGAGATCTATTCTTTCAAATATATGAGAATGTACTATATCCAATTAGTGGAAAGTCTCTATGGCCTCAGAGTGATATTCCCATATTAGATCCTCCACTTGCATGTGTCCAACCTGGTAGGCCCAAGAAAGCAAGAAGAAAAGGTAGTTCTGAAAATAGAAGTGGTGTTCATGTGGGAACGAATAATGTGCAAAAATTTAAAAAGCATGTGATCATGCACTGTAGAAGATGTGGTCAGGCAGGCCACAATGCTGCTACCTGCAAAAGTGTTCCAGAAAATAATGGAGGTGAAGGCTGCAGTCAACCTGCTCCAACTCCTAAACATGCTAGAAAGTCAAAGGGCACCAACAATGGCTCAAGCACAACACATGGAGCTAATTCTCAGGAGCCTGATTTTGCTCATGTGGAAGTTCAAGGATATTCTTCAAGTTGTGTCAATTCTCAGCCACATGGAGCTGAAGAGCAAACTACTTCCCATAATGACATTGGTTCACATGCTGAACGTAATGCACAAGCTGCCAGTAGTAGTACGAAAAAGCAGCAGATTAGAAAGACTAAGACACCTGTAGGTGCAAAAATTTATTTCTAATTTTATTTTTAATTTTACTATGGTAAATAGCTATTGTTAATATTTATTGTACTTGTGTACAGGTGAGGAGAGTTAGGCCTGTCAATGATACCGACCAGTCTACTACAGCGGCCAACAAACAGTCTCTCCATTCAAAGAGAAAGCTGTCTGAAATTGACAAGATAAGGATCAACACCAACTATGAGTACTTGGGCAAAGAGCCTCCATTCAAGATTGGTAGATGGGCTGGAACATCAAGGAGCAGTAGAAGTAGAAGTGGAAGATCAGATTAAAGAACTTGTTTGCATAGCTTTTGTTTGGATGTATTCTATGTCTAGGACAATTCCAGATTATTTATATGTGAAACATGGCTAACTTTGTTGGCAGTTGTTTGGAATGACAGTGACAATTATCTCTTTTGTAAAGCAGCTGTTTGGAATGATAATGATAATTATCTCTTTTGTTGTATTTGGCTTTATGTTTTCTGCATTTGTGAGCTACTTTTCTTTTGCACCACCCATATGTTGGAACTAATACTTCAGTCTTTTATTCATAAATTACAATTTCAAACATCCATGGTGTAAACAACACCAACCAAAATGAGGTGTAATAAAAACACTACAATCTCAACAAAAACGAGCTGTGTATTAAAACATTGAGCAACACTGGTTTAGGATTTGAAGTACAACAATACTCTAGTAGCCATCAATTTGCAGCCTTCCAAACTTCTGTCCCTTGTTAGGCCCCCAAATCCACATTGATGCATTGACAATTGTCCAGGCCATAACAAAAAGAACAATGACCATTTTTTTCACTTTCTTTCTTCCAAGCTTCTCCTTCAGATTTTTTACTTTATCCTCCATTTTCTCAGCTTTCTTTTGCAACTTGAGAATTTGTTGCCGCAAAGTTTCATTCTCGGTTTCCACCCTATTTATTCTTCTTAAAAGACCGGGTATGACTTGTTTCGAACGCTCACACATTTCTTCATCATACCAATTCCAATAACCACAGCCATCAACCTACAAAAAAATTATCCAAATTCTTTTTAGCCGATAAATGTCTAAACAATTAAACATTAACCTAATTTAACGAATTTCCTATATCTTCACACACTTACCTTGCCATTAGCACATTCAACATATCTCCTTGCCGGGTTCCTATCAGTCCATGAAGTCTTCAAATTGGTTTTACTGCCACAAGAGCAGGTCGGAGTTGTTTCCTTGCCTTTTCCTCTCATGAAGCTTCAACACATTCCCAGCAAATTGCAAGTCGGAGTTCTTTTCTTAGGTATTCCTCCAATGAAGCTTCAACACATTCCCAGCAAATTGCAACTTCGTATATTGTCCCTCCTACTCCATATTTGCAGAAGAAATCTATTACAGGATAAGGGTTTGCACTTCCTAATTGAACTTACGAGTTGTCTGACATTTGAGAGTGATTTATGGTGGAGAGTTTCAAGGAAAAGACTGTGCAGACGAATTTGCCCCTCAAAAAGTTGATTTCCGTCTCTCCTGACGGCACAAATACACGGAGTGACCAAAACGGTACAGATTTACTAGTTCAGTGACATTTCGCGCTAATAAAAAAGTTTAGTGACCAAAACCGGCACTTTGAAATAGTTTAGTGACATTTCGCGCAATTCGCTCTATAATTAATAAAATCAACTATTCTCAAGTTTAAGATGGCAAGGGCTTTGGGTCAATTTCTCTTCGTCTAGGTGCTGTCGTCAGTGAGCGCATCACTCACCCAAGTCTGTGCGTTGCTGATGTGCCGGAATAGCTCCGGCCCCCGGGCCCTACCCAAGTTCTTGAGCTCCTAGACGGAGTTGCTGAGCCGGTTCACGCTGTCGGCCATCTGTTCTAAGCAGTCCCTCAGAGCTGCATACTCTCTACCCTTCAGCCCTCTGAATTTGGGGAGCTTAGCCACGAATGCTCTAGTGGACTGAACCCTGTCTAGGCTCACGGACAGAGCCGTTTGGACCAACTGGTTCGGGCTCCTCTGAATGGTCGAGGCGAAAGTCGAAAGGGATTTGACACACAGAGATTGATAGGCAGTGGTTCTACATTTGGCCCGGATGAAGCTAGTGGCTGCGGCTGCGGCATCTGACTTGGCCGGAATCCACGAGAAGGACAGACTCAAAATTAGTAAAGGCAGTATTGGGTAAGCCATCTCCCTTTTTTCTTTTTCGCCAGAGCGGATGGATATGTATGTGATAAGAAGAGAGGGTTGGGTGGGGGTGAAGACCGAAGGAGCATCACTGAAGGCAATCTATGTCTCTATATATAAAAGGAAGACGAAGCACAGATGCATAGGAGAGGAGCAAGAGATGCAAGTGCTACGTTGGACTTCCTAAATTGACCCTGCCTTTTGTCTTGGAAATCGTGCGAACAGCCAGATCGGCGAATTTAACGGCTAAATCTAACAGAATGGGCTCGCGTCTTAACTTTATACATTTTAGTGGTCAAAACCAGACTTTTAATAGTTAAGTGACCAAAACTCAACGATCGCAAAAGTTTAGTGGCCAACCGAATAATTTGCTCTATAATTAAATATCAAACTAGTGATTTTTTTGACGAGTTAATTTTATATATAATCTAATGTTTTTGTTGATCTTTGTTTTCTATTTTTTGGTATTAAAATTAACAATAAATCAAAAAGAAATGGCACAAAAGCACTACTAAATTATGATAATCCCACTACTTTAAACATTTATAAATTCTAAATGAATTATTTCAACATGTTCTTTTCTATCTTATAAATCTAAATCCATAATAAAATACCAGCAAGAATATCATATCATAGTAATAAAATTATTATCATATCATAGTAGATATGGGTATGAAAAATTTGGCATCTTTTCCTTATAATTATACTAAATAATCTTATAATTGTGTAGAAAAATAAATTAAAACTCATTTCACAGGGGCATTTTTGGGAATTCATTTAAAAAATTGTCGAAATCAATATTACTTTAAGATTTTATTACTAAAACTATCGATCAAGGGAGGTAAGTGTAATTCTTTAAATCTTAGAGGAGCTCAGTGAAATTGCTAGAAACCTCAGGAGAGGTTTCTGTAATTAACCCTAAAAATAAATCAAAGTGCCCATTCTAGACTTGTAGGACCTTCTTGTTTTCTAGAAAGAGGATATCATCCATCCAAGTTAAAAAAAATGAGGCACCTACAACTACAAGTGAGACGGCCCTATGGAAGATTTTTTGATTCAAGATTCTTGGATGCCATATTCCTGTCATCACTCATAATATACCAATCGAGTGCTCGCACACTGTTGTGGATGGTCTTCTCTGTTTCTCATGGTGGTGGCTGTTCATTGAAAGTCCGTCTTCTTGATGAAAGACGAACCCATTGGAATGCTTGGTCTATCTCTTTCCAATCGGATCAACTTTAGAAGTAATCCCAACAATCATTAGAATGCTTGGTCTTGGGAAGACAACACTTGCCAAAGAGGTGTTGAATCATCTCAGAATTGAGTATGAATTCTGCATTTGTGAATGTGGCCCAAGAACAGGAAAGGAAGGAAGTGTTCCTGAAAATTTTGAGTCAAATTTACGATGTCTGATGAGCAGAATTGAGGGATGACAATTTCAACTAAAATATCTGACTAATGGAGTAACATATTTGTTGATAAATATCCACATTAAATATGGGTATAATAGTGAACTAATAAACCAACCACCCTTCTGAAAAAGAAATGAGCCTATGACTTCAGATGAACACAAAAGAAGAGTGAACCTATATATATATAGGATAAAGGAAGTGATACATTCTAACCATCCACGTAGCAAAATAGTTGAACAAAATAATTACTTGTCAATGTACAAGGTGCTGTTGGTACATGTAGTAAATTTATACTAATAGTTGAAATGAATTGTATGTGGATATTAATAGCAGATAGGATAAGTTTAGATCAGCTCTAAGCATCAGTTCAGGCAATAGATTTTGAAGCCCTCAAGAAAACAAGGACGAGCTTTCAGATTCAGTTTCTGCTCTGCTCATCTTAAAGAGTGTTGAACCATAACCATCACCTCATGACGTTCCAAAGGTGTCCAATTTTCATCTATTGCCCAATCTCAAGAATGTACAAGGTGCCAGCCATCTCTTCTGCTGCTTAGATGATTGTCAAAATCCAATGTACTTTGAGTAACATATATACGGAAGCAAAGCAGAAATAAAAATAAACAAATGACCTGCTAGATGAAGAATGGAAAATACAAGTACTTCCACCTATATATTTGTCCACCCTGTCAAAATTGAATATGCAACCACCAAAAGTTGACCAACTTCTCAGAAAGCGCACTTTGTCATAGCCCATTTGCAGACAAAGAAGCAGTTCTAATCAAGTAAATAACGTGTTTCAAGTCCACCATTTGCCAAGACTACTGCTACTAAAGCAAATGAAAACTATGTACTAGATGCGGAAGATGTGCTTCTTGCCCTGTCTCTCACCATAGTCTTCACAAACAGCTCCCCAGCTCGATATGATGATCGAACCTATGAAAGTGACAAGTCTTGCAAATATTAGGCAAAATGGGATTTTATCAATAGCACACAAGTTTTAGTTCTCGATAAAGCGAAAAAATGTCAGTTTGTTACTCGACAATGATTTAGAGCTTTGCATAATCTCAAACAGTGATAAAATCCATCCAGACCCTCGTTTTCACATGAAATATTAAATAAATCAGGAAAAAAATTAACTTCACAGAATGCAGTTGTTTATTAACCATACTATTATGCCAATAGTTATTTATGCTAATTTAAGTGATTGAGGATTTAAGCTCCTTATGATGCAAAACTCACCAGGGGTCCACTAGCTACATATTGGAAACCAATAGACTCTCCATATTCTTTCCAGAAGGTAAACTTTTCCGGGGTGACGTACTCTTTGACAGTAAGATGTAACGGAGTTGGCTGCAAAACAACACCAACACAAAATAATCTATACAGTGTCATAAGCATATTTCTAACGATAATCTAGTCAGAATATTGCTAAAATGGGTTAAAAGGATATAGAACAATGTGAAACGATGGGTCTATGGCTCCTCTACAGGTCATGCAACATCATGTACAAGCAAAATGAGTAAGATGATGTAGATTAATATGAAACGAGGTATTAACACTAACCTAGTTTCCTAATTGACGTGTTACATGTTCGAGATTAGATCATCTTACTTCTCAAAAATCATGGTGAAGAATAGCTTGCACATTTGCACTCACTTGTAAATACTGTCCAAGTGTCAGAATATCGACATCTATAGCACGCAAGTCTGCCATGGCTTCCTTCAATTCCTCATCAGTTTCACCCAGTCCCAACATAATTGAAGATTTAGTTATCATCCCTTCCTTGGCTAGCTTTGCATGTTTCAAAACAGACAAGCTTTGTTCATATCTGCATCAAATAAGATATTTAGCATAATCCATGGTCTAAAGATTTTCAACAGTTAGAAGTGCTATCATCCTTAAGAAGTTAATATTCAGATGTGTTCCCAACTTGCAAAAAGCTAATGTTCATTGCTAAGCAACAAAAGCACCATTATTCAAATGCCAACTTCACTCATCTTGGGTAGCCATCGGGCCAAACACTCACCACGATCAAGCATGTATAAGACAGCAAATTACTAAGGCTCCGTTTGATAACACTGAATCTGAATTCTGAACTCTGAATTCTGAATACTGAAATAATTAATTTGCTGAATTTTAAGCACTGAAAAGAGATATATGAATGTCTGAATCTTAATACTGAATCTGTTTATACTGTTTGATAAATATTCATAACTTAATGCTTAAGAAGCTAAATTGTACAATTTTGCCCTTCTATCTTTTAATCCAAAAAGGAAATAGAACCTATGATTTAATTAACTTAAAATTGTTAGGTATGAAAATGACAATGATTGTGAAGAGTAATGCATACAATGACAATATTTCTTTGTGTGGGAAAAGGGTATGGTTTCATCGTTTTGAAAATGGGAAAACGAGCTTTTAATACTCCAAAAGCACGTTCAATTACATTTCTCAATCTTGCATGTGCTTGGTTAAAGCGTTATTCTTTTAATCTTGGACGAGAAGCATTTCGAAAATCAGACAACCAATATCTAATATTTCGATATGGTGTCATAAAGCCACGTGTGTGTGGATAAGTTGCATCACATAAATAATATTTATCTGCACAAAAAAATATATATATCAAAATATAAATGTTTGTGGATGAAAATTACTGCAAAAAAATACTATTGTTAAAAAATTTTTTTGAATAGAGAATATCAGGTTGTTTTGTTTAATTAGATAAGGATTTTAAATAGGAAATATTAGGTTGTTTAATTAGATAAGGATTTTGAATGTAATTAACAAACAGGGATATATTTGGTAGATAAGATAAAGTAGTTGAAGTAAATCTCTTGATTCTTATCAAATTAAGCATTCAGCTACGATTCTTGTGCTGAAAAAAATACATACAAATTCAGTACCACTTAATAAGTTCAGCAGGTGAATTTTTATTTATCAAACACCCACAACATCTGAATGTCTGAATGAATTCAGTTTCAGCACTTTTTTATGTTATCAAACAGGCACTAAGACATTCATATAACTATCACTAAGATTAATCCACTTGTCATATCATAGATATGATATGATGGGAATTGAAGTACATTCCTGGATAAAAAAGAGCACCAAATTTCTCGATTGCCCGACAATAAGATTATTTTGAAATCTCATGTGGAAGGATGCTAGAATGCTTGAAAATAAGTTACTCCTCTAACAGCTAATTTTAGGTGACGTGGTGGCACAACACATTAGAGAGGATAACAACCTGAAGTCTGGAATCCTAGATTGCCTCTACGTTGCCTGGTAAGTATGAAGAGCTTAGAGAATTGATTTGAATCCCAAGCAAGACGTCACAAATGGGGATGCAGCTTTGACAGGGCAATACTGTGAACTTCAAGTCTTTGTCCAACATCCCATCCGATAATTTTTGGAATTTCCAGATAACACACAAATTACTACTAGTAACTTGGCTTAAACATTTTTTGTTACCGATTTTGGTTTCAACAAGTCATTAAGCTATTACATAATTGAACTGTTTAGCATAAACATTTTTGTTACTGATTTTAGCTCCAACAAGTCATTAAGCTAGTACATAATTAAACTGTTTAGCAAAGGTCACTATTTTGGAGTTCAATTCATCTTAGGATAAAATATTTGAGAAAATATGAAGTGTGCTAGTTTACCTGTACATATAGATGAGCATGATCCCTAAGAACTAGTGCTTTCAAGTGGTAGGCAGTTGGATAATCACACAAGTCATCATAACATATAGACTTTCGACACAAAAACTGATTAGGAAGCCACTAAACTAAATGCTTATTCTTCAAAGCACTAGCATTTGAAGAGCAATTAACATAGTTTCATAGAAATCTCAGTCACCCAATGCTAATTTATTGCATGATTGATGAATAGAACGATAAATTATTTTTACATCAATAGTTTTGCAAGAAGCTGCTAGAAACAACACCACAATACTATTTTCCTTAGATAGCATCAAAGAACTAAAGAACTCACCCAGCCCTGGGATCTCTAACAATACGTTGAAGTCTTCTGACAGTCTCAATGTTGTGGGCAAAAACATCTAAGCCTGAGCGAGCTAGAGCAGATACAGCATCTAGGTCACCCCGAAAATCGGAAGTTAAACACTCGACCATAATATCAGGCTTGAGCATCTGCAAGGCTAATTGAGCAACTTAAGTAAGACTTTTGATTATAACTTATGAAGAGATTTTCTAACATATGACTCTGTGTTTTTCCAAACAAATATAGACCTTCATATATGGATCATATCAATTTTAGTCGTTAAGAATGGAAACGTAATAAAAGTCTAATATTCAGATAGTCCAGACCTTCATTGCTTTTACCGTCTCAGCAAAATGGCCACTCCCCCCATCAGGTAGATCGTCACGATCAACGCTGGTTAGAACAATATAATCCACTCTGCAAGATAAAACCTTTTGCAGTTCAATCAATCAAATTTTATGTTGACTGCAACAGGAGTCAAAAGGTATGATATCATTAATTCATTATGCTCTGGATGGAACTAGTAGAAAAATTAGACGTTTTCGAAGTTTTAAGATGTCAACATTGGTGCTATTTTTTGTGTTTCATAACAAATTCAGAGTTAGCAAGCCAATCTACGAACAATCATTTACACACGGTTTGTGACTCTAACATGTATTCAATCTTCAAGAAGACTCAGCTCTTTCAGTCCTCATAATACTGCTACCATAAGAAGCCATCATATCGCACAAAGTAAGAATTGTACATTAAACCAATCTATGTAGTCTGCACAGTATTTTCATTATCAATCCAATCCATTTAATCATAGAGTTATTTCGTGCCAAATAAATCATCATATTTAAACAAATGCTTATCATGTTTCTAAGAAGTTCTGCACAACTTCACTTTTGTGTTTCTCCCTGATAAAGTTCCGGGCTCAGCAAGCTTGAAATAGACCACCTATCACTAGATGCTTTTCTTTTCTATTCTTTCCTCATTATCTATCAGTAACCATACCATAGCATTTCTTAGCAATTAATCACAGCTTTCCAACAACTAAATGAATCAAAGAGTCATGAAATCAGCACCTACCATGTAAAGGTTTTGGAAATTATAATAATCTAACAACAAAAATGGGGAAAGAACGTGTTTAGATAGATACCCCCAGCTAGCAATAGCCTTGGCAGTGTTGTAAGGCTCCATAGGATCGGGAGGCGGGGGATTCCTACTCGTCTTGACAGCGCAGAATCTACAGCCCCGGGTACAGGTATCCCCCAACAGCATAATGGTAGCGGCGACGCCGTCTCCGCCGGCACTCCCCGATATTAGGGCCTCGCAGACAGTGTGGAGATTCAACCTGGACAAGGAATCTTTCACCTCATCGTACTTCTTCCCCTGCGGAGCTTTCTGCCGCAGCCACTCTGGTTTCTTGACGTTCGGATCCCTCCCCGTATAAGGCCCCACTCCGCCCGGGTACGGCGGAGGAGGGCCCACAGCACCAGCACCCGCACCTGTGGTCGTGGCCTTGAAATTCGTCTTATTGAGGGAATTGTCGGGTTTTAGTTCCAGTGGGGATTGAGATTCACATTTGATGACGGAAACTCTAGTGTTAGAATGATGACGAGAAGGGTATAACAAAGGAGGAGGAGGAGGAGGAGAAGGATTGGTGGGGGATTTTGTGAGATATTGAGCAGGAATCATCATTTCTTGGTAAATTGAAAATGGGAAAATTAGGTGCAAGAAATGTTGTTGTTTTCTCCTTTCTTCTTCTTCTGATTGAGAAGAGGAATGGGGGAACGGAGAAGGAGAAGAAAAGGGGAACTGGGGTTGGGAGTGGTGAAAATGACGATGCGGAAGGAGTGAAAAGAATGAGAAATTAAATGTAAAGTTCGGTGGTTTTGTTGCAGAAGTGGGTGGGCATAGAGAGCTCCGTCCGTCGTCGGCCTACACTGGACTTTGATGTCCATTCCAATTCTGTTGGCAGTTGGCACAATGTTAACATTTAACAGATTAATTGCAAATCACTCCACAACTTTACATGGGTTGCAGATAGCACCCAGCCCCAACTCCGACTTCAAAATTCTCGTCCATCCCAATTTTTTGGCTGCTGCTGTTGTCTTTTCCTCTTTCTTCATCTCCGTAGCATCCAATCTCGATGAGACATGGGACGGGTACAAGGCCAAGCAGCAGCCCCAGAGGACGAAAAGAACCCTTCTTCAGCGAATTCACCTCTTGATTCTTTGATTGCTGGTACAATACTCCTCCTTTCTTTCTCTTTCCTAGATTGTTGCTTCTGGTAATTTGACCTGATGTTGGACTGAATAGACGAGCCTTAAACCCTGAACCCCAAACCCTGATCAAAAGTTGCTAACTTTTCTTTTTCTTCTTTTGGGGTGCAGAAGCTGCAGCATTTGGCGATTATTAAGCATGCTAATACAATTTTCTGCTTTTGGGGATTTTTTTTTTTAATATATTGCGCTTCAGACTTGGGACTGACTGAAATTTATGTGTCTTTAAAATTGGCATCGTTGAAATGTTATAGTCAGTGGAGGAAAAAGCTCAAAGAGCACTGGAATGGCCTTGCATTGCTCATTTGAGGACTGGTCCTTGTGGCTTCCAGTTCTCTGATGCCTTCCTCTGTTATGCTCCAGAGAAGGTAATTACCAAAACTTAAACTCAGGTTTTTCTCTTTTCTTCCCCCCCTTTTTCTGCCTTGCACTGATTCAGTATGCAATTCAAGTTACTGGCAAATCACCTGAAATACAATTTTTTGAGTTGGCCTAACATACTATCTAATTGGTGTGATTACTAGCATTATAATCCAAGTGTAAGAAGTATGATTTTTCAATCCGATCAGGGCCAGAAACAAATGTTTGTGCAGTGTTGATATGGTTGTGGGGTTTTTGGGGCAATTTTTTATAGCTTATTAGAAACCAAATCTGACATAGATGGAGATCGAATGGGCCGGATAATCAGCCACAATTGCTCCAGAAAATACCCACATTCCCCTCTTGCTCCCCATGTGTGTGCGCGCTATATATAGAAGGAGATAGATAGATGGAATTAGCTGCAATTGCCCGAGAAATAATCCCTGTTATGTTGTCTGTGTCTGCATAGAGCCCGTCCTTGCACGTCTCTTCTGTTTTTCACGAGGACTTGTGATGGTTGAAAATTGGTGGGAGACTGCAACTAAACCTAAAGCCAAAATTTTGACCACATCAGTTATACTTTGCAAGAGGAGAATAAACTTGAAAATGAGATGAAGTCAACCTTATCAAAGCCCCTAAATCAAAACTAGTATTTACCTTGGCGCTCAAAGATTTAATCTTGAGAAAGGAAGACCTGATAATCGACATGAAATTAGTTTTTCCAAGAAATCTCGTGTCCTTCGCATCTCTCATGTTCTAGTATGCATGTTTGCTGATGTGAACATTTGTGCTCGCTCTCATACACCAGCACATGTCTATGCTGGTGCAATTGTCCGCGGCTTGCCACAGCTTACGCTGCAATCAGGCCATGTAAGCTCTATAGCAGATTAAAATTTACTCAAGTGTTAACTACTCCAAGCTAAAATTTAGCAGGAAATTTGGCCCTGTTATGTAGTCACTCTGTATTCTTAAATTTTAATCCTATACTCTTTACAGAGCATGTTGTTGGCAGTTATTGCTTGAAAACCTTATGATCCGCACTTCCAAATCTTTAATTATTTGGTTTGAGATATGCATTTATATTTGATCTGTGTATTGAATTGGGTTATATGATCTTCATATTGATCTGTCCTTTCTTTTAGCCATTCAAGAAGAAGAAAGTGTTGCATTCAACTTCCACACTGTTAATGCTTGATAGGATAAGCAAATGCACAATCACAGTTCCTTTATGCATACTGCATTTGCCATCAATATAGGATGTTCATATTTCATATATATTTTTTTCCTCCTTTTGTCCATATGTCTGTCTTTTGTCGCAGCCTCTCAGTTTGTCTGCTACTTTTCCCTGCAGGGTTCAGACTGTGTTAGACCATTTGTGGCTCTGCAGAGTTGTATCAAAGCAAATGCTGATGCATTTTCAGAGGACATTTTAGAGGACGATGAAATCAAGAAAGAGGAAAAACCATCCAAAGAATACAAAGTTTACCCTCCCCTTTGGTCTGTAGAATCCAAAAAATCCAAACAAAAGTCTTAAGACAGAATGTACTTATTCGATTCCGTGGAACCTCATTTTGTTAAATACTAACTTCCATGGGGCATTTTTCCAGTCTATTTCATATTATTACCAAGAGATTTCTTTAGGTCTAAGACACCACCAAGAAGTGTTCTTATGATTAGAGGCATTTTGTAAACGTTAATAACAATCTGTAGATTGATCCCCCTTATTGGTTTTAACTGAGCAAGAAGGGCCTCCAATGCTTTTTAGTGCTGCTTGTGAATGAGTGATTCTTGAAAGAGGTGTTTTGAGATTTGGAGGGTCAAAAGCTACTTTACATTTAACGTTTTCAACATGGAAGAAACTAATAATGGTAAAAGTTATTGCAATGTTCTCTCAGTATTTGCCATGAAGCTCCGAAGGCAAAATCAGACTCAGAACTAAGAGGATACCAAGAGACCATTTATATCACCAATGAAACTGGTTACTTCAACTGTCTTTTAAGACCAAGAACTGGAGCACTTTCACGAGTCTCTGTTTGCTTGTGCAATTGAGCATGATTATTTTTTGCTTGGTTTGTTGTGACAAAGGTCAGGATACTTCTCATTAGCAATAGCCCATAAAAGCATTTCTCCAAGATAGCTCAAATAACAAAGAAATATGTGATCAAGCAGAATAATTTAGAAAAATTAATTGCAGCTGTCAAACTACGGTGACTCGCACATCAAAATTTCCTTTATCCTAGGTAACTAGTAAACTCGAACATGTCCAACTATGACTGTACCGAAGACATTATAGTATCCGAGCATTCCTTGATCCTACTGCATTTGCATTACATCCCATCACAAATTTGCCAAAATTTTGCATATTTGGTGAGAATCAGGGCGCATTGGATGATTCATCTGGAGAATTTTCAGATTCTGACCAATCAACCATTTTCTCCAGCGAATCCAGATCCCCAGCTTCTGGAACTGTGTGTAACCTGATCTTTTCTGCATCCTCACTGAAAGAATTGAAAAGCAACAAATTGTCAGTTGAGTAGAAAGTTTTAAATTAAAATGGCCAAGAGATTCCACCAGAGATTCTTACTCTGCAACTCCAAATATTTCTTTGACAATTAACGAGCTATCCCTTGAACAGAACTCAGGCAGCTGGTACAGAGGTAAAAAGAGTTAAATAATGCATTAAAATGTACCAAAACGCATATAGGTGATACAAACTGGGCTTAGAACAAGTCCTATACTAGACTAAGATTACAACTCAACAGGAAAATCTTTCTCCTCCTAGACATGCTTAGATATCATTGATGAAACTACAGTGTAGAAGGGAGGCTTTTCAAACAAGATGCCGCTCAGAGAAGAGATCCATGTGAACTTCAAGAAAAGAAGGAATGCCTTGGTAACTAGGATAGACCATGAGCAAGACCGATCTACATATAATTGGTACATCATAGTTAAAACACACCCACAGAGAACGACATGGAGTTCTCTGAAGTTTAATTTAATCACTAGCACACTAAGTATGTGGAGTTAAAATTAGGGGTGGCAATCGGGTCGAAAATCGGGTTGGCGGGTCGGGTTGAGACCCAGATATAACAAAAAACCCGCTGACCTGCCAACCCGAAATGACCCGAAACTTAATTTTAATTTATTAATTTATCACTGTAATTTCTAATAAAACCAATTTCGCACAAGACTAATTACATAATCAAGTAATAAAATTTTAAATAAATAATCTCAAACCAAATCTAAAATAAATTAAAACACTGTAAAAGTGTTTTATCCCAAAACAAATATAAAATAAATTAAAACAGTATAAAAGTAAAAAATAATATAATACATTATTTGTCCAAATATATAATAATTTCAACTTCACACAAGTGAAATAAATTCATTTAGGATTAAGTGATTAATGCCTTTGGAAAAAAAGAATAACTTAGTTTAGTTAGATAAAATAATTTTTATTAAATTATTTTTAATTTGTAAAACGGGTTATCAGATCATATTGCGTCGGGTTCATCGGGTTCGACCCGATTCTGACCCGAACCCGCGAAACCTTAACTCAAGCCAATTAATTTCGTGTTAGGTTTATGTCGTGTTTTTAGGTCGTGTCGGAAATTGCCATCCCTAGTTAAAATCATGTGAAGACCAAACTGTCTTCCAACTTTGTGAAATTGGGGCAGATTTTTGAATAAACCAAATGTTACAGTATATTTGTTTATCCTTAAGGCTCAGTACGGATTCCCATTTTTGGGATAATGAGAATCCTTAGCTGTTTTTAGGGGTATTTTTGAAATATTTTACTGTAGCAATGTAAGTGAAAAACATTTACTGTAGATGAGGTTGTTTTTGGTGTTTTTGGCATTTTGAGGTTGTTCTTGGTGTTTTTGAGGTTGTTGAAGTTATGTGTATTACTGTAGCGTTATATCCCAAAAACTTGTTTTTCAACAAAAGATCAATCCAAACTAAGCCCTTGTATTTCAAACACAAGTCTACAGTAACACCAATACAAAAACAACCCAAATACAACCTTACATCTATAAATAAATAAATAAAAATAAAATATCACCCCCCCGGCCCACCCCTTCTTCCTCCCCTACCACTTGCTACCACCACTCCCCACATCTTACCATAAGAAGAAATCTGGTAGAAAGTTACCATAAACCATAAGAAGAAAGGGCAAAAAAGGAACTACAAATGCTTAGTAAGTGAATAATACACGATGCAAAAACAGTGATTCCAGAATAACACGACAAACAAACTCGTCATGCAAGGTGCACATCGAAGCATTTCAGCAAAGAGCTATCAACCTTACCTCAGACAGATAAAAAACCTTCCCAAACAGAGCTTGTACTGCAAGCTTTCTCTTGAAACCCTTCTCCGAATATCCTGACATATCCATCACAACAGGACCTGAAAATGCAATCAACCATTGTCAGTCAATAATGATGCTGCATAAGCATGAAGGCAGGCAGATAGCATCTATTAACATCCATGCAGCAGTAAGCATATCTGCCTTTTGAAGTTAATATCTATGCAGATCATAAGTAAGAGAAGGCAGAAAAAGAAGATCAAAGAACATGTCGTTTTTGGCTCCTTTGCCACCAAAAATGGATACAACGAGCAATATCAGTAAATGCAATGATTATCCACCACATTTGTACACAGACATCTGAACCACAAGGCTTTGACATAAAGGAACATGCTTATGACTTAATATTTCCTGTTAAGCCTTACAAAGCAGCAGGCACAAGAAGAGAGAAGTAAAGTAGGCTATTTGCCTAAGCAGACAAAGCAGATATTGTCGCTTAATACATGCTCTGTTGCATCAATTTCGTTAAACTTTCTTATTTTATATTCCAACTTTACATTTCATAAAGACTTGGACAAGCCCTGTAATGTCTTCCTTTACTGTTATTTATGGCTAACTACATCAATTTATGAGGCATAATTGCTTGCTGAAATAAAGTGATCCAGACTGTTGGCTGCTCCTTCATCCAACATGCACAAAAAGATTACTGGAAGAAGCAATAAGGTTCCTAGAGACTGGGGAACCGCATAAATTACACAATTAATTGGACAAAAAGAAATTGTTAATCATCTCTGTTTCCTCTTCCACCAATTGATAGCCTTTACCAAAATACAAAAGTTTGTGACAGAACACGTAGATCTGCCGAGAAAGAGAAAGGAAAGAATGTAATGCGATGTCTATCATATTCAGAAAAGCCCAGTATGCAATTCTTGTGTGGTTGCTTAAAACCCTACTGGTTTTACATGTTATAGATAGTTAAACTTTGCCATATAGCAGTTTGCCATGTTGACTTTTGTTATCTATAACGAAGAGATCTTATAATTCAAGACATTCTTCTCCAGTCCTAAGTTCATTTCATAAATTACATGAGGGTAGTACAGAATAGAAGTGCAACCACAATGATACTACTTTGTTACCTTTCTCTTTTACATGTTATAGATAGTTATACTTTGACATATAGCAGTTTGCCATGTTGAATTTTGTTACCTATAACGAAGAGATCTTATAATTCAATACATTCTTCTCCAGTCCTAAGTTCATTTCATAGATTACAAGAGGATGGTACAGAATAGAAGTGCAACCACAATGATACTAGTTTGTTACCATTCTCTTTTACAATCCGTCTTGAGATCTCATTGAGAACTCCAGCTATTTGAGAATCATCCAATCCTGATGCTTTCCTCAGTTGAATCAAATTTGCTACCAGATCTGGGTTGAATGGCTTCTCATTCAACACATAACGAATATATTTTCGCAGAATTTCCTCCACGTCAAAACCTGTCTGAGAAAACAGTATTTATGTTGTCAAAGGAAAATAACTCCCTGACAAGCATGCATACAGAAAAACAGAATATACAGTAAATTGATGAAAAAAAATAGCACATATTTTAGATCATCTTATAGTAAGATAATCCATCTTGTCAAAAGCAAAATTTAAGGTTACAAGTCCAGGAAGAGTGAAACTAACAAAGCATTGCCTGAACCTAGGAACAAGATGATACTTTAGAGGTCAAGCGCAATATAGAAAAAAGTGTTTTTAACTAATCAATACCCATAAGTGCACCTTTGTGCAGGAGTTTAGGGTTTAACTTCTTTTCAGACTTCATAAGTTATTACAACATCTTAGTTGGTATATATGTGTGTGTGTGTGTGTCTATATATATATATGAACACAAATATAACCAGAAATGAAACACCTGAGTGCTTCTAAAGGTTGCACAAAATAAGAATGATGGGGAAAAACAATGATGTAATTCAAGAAAACTCGTGGAACGTCCTTGTAATTATTGGTAAAACTGAAGGATCATTAGTGTACTTCTCCAAATGAAAGTATTAGAGGACGCTCTTATCTATCTGAATTAGGAAAAAAAATGGTTGTTTTTTCTTTTCATGTGCTTGGGGGTGAGGTTCGGGGTTTTAGGTTTTTTTTTTTCTTTTTGGGGGGGGGGGGGGGGGGGGGTTGCAGCTAAAGAAAAGTAACCAACTAAGGCGTGCCAGTGGTGCTGATGGTCCGCTGTATGTGCTGGTCCAAATTTGAAGGTTTAATAAATAAAAGAAATAGAAGTAGCAACACATGCTACTATAACCCAAATAATTGGGAGAAGTGAGAGAAATACAGTGAAAGGACTGAATCCAATCCCGGCAAAAGGAGAGAGAAGCTGGTAGGGCAGAGAAGATACTCAAAAAGGAGAAATGGAACAGGCACAATAGAGCAAGAGAAGAAAGTGGACAGGCCTAG